AAAAAAAAAAAAAAGAGAAAACAAAAAGCAAGTAAGTCCCAGGAGCCACGAGGGAGGTACACGGGCTGTGCCTTCCACAATCACAATCGTCCCTCCATTTAACAGAAAACCTTGGAAAGACCACGAAGAAAGAAGCCTCCTCCCTCTGCCACTTTCTGATTTTCTACAGGCATCTATGAGTCCACTGGCACTTTCCTCTCACTTACTCACTCACTCACTCATTCAAACACTGTGTGCCCTCCAAGGGTGAGTACTGCGTGCCAGGCCCTGAGAACTAAGAGCTTCAGTGCCTTTTACTCTACACCCAAACTTGGCTATAGGTGCTAAGCTTGATAATAAGTGTCCGTTACCTCCCCCTGCAAGGAATGTACGGAAAAGAAAGCTAAAGCATTGGTTTAGGCACACTGATAATATGTCCTTGGTGATTCCAGGACAGTAACTGTAAAAACACCCACAGACTAGTCAAACGCACTTGGTGGCAGCTGTGCAGGAAGGTCTGCCATTCCATCATCCCACCCCGAACCCACAGAGGAGCATATCCAATGTGTTGGGGAGGCACTGTACCCCAAAATGATTTTAAAGATAAAACTATATTATGGTCCAAACAAAGCACAGGGAGCAAAGATCAATTACAAACTGGGGCCCAAAACAGTGAGCTGGAAGACACGGACTCCACCACCCCAAGTGGACTTCGCTGGGTGTGCTCGCCCAAGCCAGGGGTATCCACCCCTTCATTCGTTTAACAAATATCAGCTGATACCTAAGATCTGCCAGTCACTGCAGGGCAGATAAGCATGCAATTCGTATCGGGAAATGCTCAGAGAACGCACATGATGCCAAGGGATGGGCGCCACAAGCTGGATCCTTGTAACTGGGGACACATCGAGTGGTCAGCTCAGCATCCCTTCTTCAGGGAAATTCTCCTCTCCTCCCCACGTGGGTTCGGCCATCCTGGCTGGACACTTAACTCCCTTCTCTCACTCAGATCCAAGTTCATTCAGCTGTGGCCAAGGGAAGAGGCCAAGGAATGCCAGGGTGTTTGAAAATGTGCAGGAGCATTTTTGACTGTCACAATGGTGGGAGTGCTGCCCACATTCTGTGGCCAAGCCCAGGGTTGCTAACTGTGCTAGTGTGTAGGCGAGTCTGGCCCAAGGAAGAAAGAGAGCAGCAAAGACGTTCCCAAGCGCTCCCTGCTCCCCAAGTCTGTCAGAAGCCACTCGACACCACGAGCCCTCCCCAGAGTCTGCCTCCCGTACCAGGAGCAAAGCGTAGCAATGACCATGGGAACTGGCCCCAAGCGTCCGAATCCTGATTCTGGTGCCCGAGACACACCCTCTATCTCTAAACTCCCTCCCCGACGCTGGCTCCAGCGGGTTTCTACCCTGCCTCCCCCCGAGTCATAACTAAGAACAGCATCCTGCTCCAGGCTGGACTGTAAGTCCCTTGAGGACAGAGTCTGGGTATCAGCTGCTTCAGAATGACGAGTAGTTAATAGGCTCTGAAATGTAAATCAACTCGAAATTCTCCATTAAAACTGGGTGAGAGGTAGGTTTGAGACACTTCTATCAGATGGAACCAATATCTTGAAATAGAAAAGAACACTTGGGCAGAAACCCCCAATACCTACACACACTTTAACAAAAGCCCTTGCCATGGTCACCATAGTGACAGCCACCCGAGGCCCTGGCCTCACAGAGCTTCCAGTCTAGAACAGGGGCCAGGAACAGTGGCCAGGGCCCCAGCCAACAGCCTGGTTTTATATGGTCCTCAAGCTATTAATGAAAACGATATATACTTTTTTACATGTTTTATATTTGCTTAAAAAAAACAAAGACTATGCAACAGAGAGTGCACAGCCCACAAAGCCACAGGTGGAAAAAGCTTGCTGACCCTGAGTCTAAAAGGAATCGCCACAGGGGCGGGGCGGGGGCGCAGGGAGAGGGACAGAACCTGTGCCTGTCTTGCGCTGGCTGGATACTACTCCACGGTCTGTGGAGGGGCTACTTTGGGCCTTTCTAGTTAACTCTCTTTACAAATCACGGTGGCTGGTTGAACAGGTTTGTAAAGAGCGTTAGACAGTCTCTCAACCAAGATGTCCACATCCTCACTCTCAGAACCTGTATGTTACCTTTACACAGCAAAAGGGATTTTGCAGACGTGGATAAGAGTCTTGGGATGGGGAGATTATCCATCCTGGATTATCCCAGTACGAGTAAGCCCAGGGGAGTCACAAAGGTCCTTACGACGGGGGAGGGATGACCGAAGTCAGAGGTGAGACAGGAAGCAGAGGCTGGAGTATCGCTCTTTGAAGACAGACAAAGGGACCAGAGAGCCAAGGATGCGCGGCCTCTGGAATCCGGAAAGGCAGGGACACGGATTCTCCTCTAGACTCCAGAAGGTACAGCTCTGCTGACACCCTGATTTTAGCCGCCCTGAGACCCACTTCAGGCTTCTGACCTCCAGAACTCTAAGAGAATAAATTTGTGTTGCTTAAGCCATTAAATGTGTGGTAATTTGCTACAAAAGCAATAGGAAAGTAATACACTCATTTATTACCACATTTTTATTGGGCACTACCACGTGCCCAACACGAAGCTGGGCCTGGGCTACAGCACAGGACGAGCTGGATGGAACCCCAGCCCCATATCCACCCGGAGATGGCGGAGTCTATGCGCTACTCATGCATGCCAACATGCCTGGCTAATTCTTTAATTTTTTTGTAGAGACGCCGTCTCACTATGTTGCCCAGGTTGATCTCGAACTCCTGACTTCAAGCGATCCTCCCCCCTCAGCCTCCCAAAGTGCTGGGATTACAGGCGTGAGCCACTGTGCCTGGCCATGACTGATTTCTTATTTTCTTAAATCAAACGCCATTTAATTCTGAAACTTGACCAGAAATACATTTGTCTCTATAAATATTGCTAAAAAGTCTTCCTAAAATGTGTTAGTCCTAGCTTCTGCTAGGTCACTCATACAAACAGATCTTTCTTTGACCCTGCACCAACAGAGCCTGTGGGCAGAGGTTAAAGCGACACAAACAACTCTCCGTGCATCTACTTGGTGCACACCATACTTCTCTGAGAAGGTTTCATTCCCACCCCCAACCTGCACCCTGAAAAAAAAGTAAGGAAAATCTCTGCTCAACTATGAGCCACTCTCCTGGGAATTTAGACTGTGTCTGAGAGATGTTAGTTGGTCTATAACTTTAATTATATCCTCCCAGTAAATCGAACCATCCTACAAATACTAATTGGGCACCTGCTATGTTCCAGGTGAAATGTTTTCTACCCCATGGCCACAGAGCCTTGGTGAAGCCAGTAAAAGGAACACACTGGACTAACACCTCTACTAAACCTCCACACACTATTTTTAGTGCACCCCCACCTTTTGACTAACTTTTGCACTCTGGGGCACACTATTGGCCTCTCTAGACCTCAGTTTCCCCATCTGTTGAAGGAGGGGCCTGGTTCTACAAGCCTACCAAACTGACAGCCCACAGCCACACAATTACAAATGACTTGCCGTCACATCAGCCATCTCACCACACACCTGGGACTGGACTCTATACTGCTGTACAACCCGGGACACTAATCAGCGATGAACCGAGCCACCACTGCTATGGAAGCAGCACCTATTCGGGAGGGACCTGATAACTTGTACATTCAAATTCCCCACGGGGGAAGATTGCCACGATTTTTCCATAGAGCAGGCGCTGGCAAAATACAGGCAGCCTGAAGAATGTGCAAAAGAGGCCGCATGTGGCCCACAAAGCCAAAAATGTTTAAAATGTGGCCCTTTACAAAGTAAGTTTACAGATACCTGCCTTAGAGCATTCAGGAGTTCTTTCATTAAGCCAAATTCCACTGGACATAACTCCAAAATAAAAATACAATCGTTAGGATTTCCTCCAATTGTACATATCTCCACTGAAGCAGTGCCGCATTTGGGGCCTGGCCCAGCCCACACCCATCTGGCTCCTCTGCTCGTCAGCTGGTTTGCACAAACATCAGGCCAGGATCACTGCTGCTAGGGCCTTAGCCAGCTTCCAAGTATCTGCTGAGCTGCCATCAACACACACACACACACACACACACACACACACACACGCGCGCGCTAGACTAGCC